ACAAGCAAAATCAGCTGCCAAGTCAAAAAAATGCAAGTAAAGTTAAAGTTAAAAAATACACACAACAAAAGAGATGTCTTTGGATGTATTCTCAATAACTAATCTATGTCATACTAAGCAAACAAAAAACACACACATTGTTGATGATAAGGCATTCACCTTTGTGCCCGGATAAAGCACAGAATGCTTGGGAAACGTCAGTTCATCGCAAATCGTGCAAAAAGGCATGAAGACATTCAAACTTAAAAGACACTGAAGACAACCAAACCTGAGTCATGGCATGACCCCCGGAATTCTTTAATGTCAAACACATCTAACTAATCCAACTACAACATCGTCATGAATGACCGTCTCTTGCGACAAAGATGCCGGGCGCGGCCCTTCTCCGCTGCCAGGAACGATCAAACATTTGGCTTCTTCTTCGGCATCCGCATCGCATCTGACAGATTCCCAGTAGCAGAGTGACAAAACCTGTGGCAAATCATGCATCTTTGCAGATTGGACTGGACCAATTTGTCCAGCCATAGACTTGCTAGCACAGCTAGTGTCAAGACACAACTTAAAATCCTATATACAAACAATCCGAATTTGTGTAGTTTTGGTCTTCTGGTCGTTGTCAATTCTCGGTGCTGACACTCTTGCAAATATACCCTCCTGTTGCGTGAGGCGTGGACAATGCGCTTCGTGCCCATGCAGTTCACATTCGTTCTCCTTGCTGCATTTGCTACAGCACGTCTCCTGACATTCCGAAAGGATGCTCGCACGGTGCAGCTAGAACATCCACAAGGGCATCTACAAATACACAGCCTTCCCCGGATTTTAGAATAAAAACCTTGGACTGGATTGGGCTTTGTTTGAGAAAATGGGCTGGCCTCAAAAGGGGCAACGTCTGTGCCATCCACTCCTTTCCAAACTCCTTGGAACATACTATATATATATATATGAAACACAATAATTAATAAACTGTGTTGTAGGACACCCTGTCCTTGTTTCTTTCTGCACGGAAGTTGCAATTGACACACTGCGTGCAGGGCACAATATCGGACTCCCACGCATTCATGGCTGCAAATGTGTTCACAAGTGTCAAATTGTAGATGCCAGGTATGAAATGATTGGATATGATGTGGTTTTTAGGTGTTCTCTGCCTTTCTGCAAAGCAATGTTGTGTCGCCACACCATTTATGCCTAACACCACCTGCGCTGTGATGGAGCCAGTGGCATGCCAATCGAACCCGTTCAATGTGCACGCCATTACTCACCCCGGCAGCAATGCACACTGTCCCTGAAGAAATGTAGGACTTTTTTGTTGTCACAGCAATGCCTGAATCGTGAGGACCACATGGAGTTGATCGCATCCAGGTCCAGAAATCCCATGAAGCTTCATTGAAGTGCTTTAATAGCATCTTCCATTGGCACGTAGGTCAGAATTCCCTGACAGTTCTTTGATGTTTTCTGTCTTCCTCCGTTTGGACAACACATCTGCTGAGTGCTGAAATAAGAAATACAGAGTCACCTCTTTGTGTTGGGAGTGCCTCAAGCTGTGTCAACTAGCTATGACGACAATCAAATTGCTGGTCTTGATTTTGTTGATAGCATGCGAAGGTCGTGCAAATTTCAATGCGTGATTTTGCACCAAACCTACTGGACTACTGGCTATAGGTCGAAACCAAACACCTCAGGTTGACACAGCACATGAAACAGCACTTTCAATTTGCTCCGATTCCGTAATTAGCTTTTGTTATCCAAGTCCATGGTCCTTCCAGCCCTAGAGCCGATGCCCAATGCCTTGTCTCGGTAGTAGTAGGTAACCTTTCCATTCTTCGTGATCACAACTCCCCCTTGCAACAAGAGGGAACAACGAAGTCTACAAGGGCAAATATGTTTTAAACACATGCCCAGAATCATGTGAGCAGGAGTCCTTGCTGCACAAGCAGTTCGTCATCTTCAGGCGCCAAATCACTCCAATTGGCAATGATGCCTTGATCTTTGTAAAATGTTCGACTTACTGTCCTCATGATCCCGAAAAGTGCTATTGCAGAACATGATGCACCAAAGCCGAGACACCTCCGACCATGTTCCTTGGATGTTCATAGCAACATGGCAACTTCTGACGAGGGAGGTATAGGTCAACTGACTTCGCGAGTGTGTTGAAGTGGAAAAACTCTGATACAGTGCGTGTGTATCAACCAACGCCTGGCTCTAAAACAACTTTCTTTGACGGCAAGCATGATGACAATGTGCCTGGTTAATGATCATGCCCTCTCAAGCACCAGCATTTTTCCTTTTCGTTCCCCAATCCGTTTACTGTTGGGGTTCTCTCTTAATAAGAAAGGGCTGGCCACAGTGGCTGGCTGCGCTCCTGAACGTTGTGCCTGGGTCTTGTCCTCCTCCTGTCGCGCTGGCCAACCCTGTGTCCTCCTCTTGTCCTACTGGCGCTTGCAGTTGTCCTGATGTTGGCCCGTAGGTCCCCGTCAAGAAAAAGGAAACTGGTCACAGTGCCTGGCCGAACGCTGTGAACCGGGTCTTGTCCTCCTCTGGCCCTCCTGGTGTCATGCTGTTGTCCTCTGGCGGAGCTGGCCAGCCCTGTGTCCTCCTCTTGTTCTTCTGCTGGTGTCCAGATGATGGCATGGCAGCATGGAGACATGACACCGCGCAATCAAAGGGCCTAGTACGAGAAAGCAATTGCGCACCTAGTGGGAAAGCGCCAGCCAGCAAGCACGAAGACGGCAGTACGGCCATGCCGCGTGGCAGCCTGTCAGCGTGTAAACATGACAACATGTGAGCGTGCGCTACAAAGCGGTGAAGCACTGGAAGCACAACTCCAGGAAGGAACCCCAGAAGCCGATGTCCTCTCCTTGTCCTCCTGTTGTCCTCTTCTTGTGAGGTTCTCTGGTTCTCTTAGGAATAAAAGTTGGCCACAGTGTCAGGCCGCGCTGGCGAGCCCCGTCCAGATGTCCTCCTCTTCTCCCCTCGTTGCAATCTTTTTGGTCCTGTCCATCATCGTCTTGTCTTTCTCTTGTCCTCTCTTCCTCTTCATCTCCTCTTGTTCTTCTCTTGGCATGCTCCCCTCATGTTGTTCTTTTGGCGTTGTCGGGTCACAGCTTGTCCTTCTTTTGTCCTCTTGGTGTGTTTGTGTTGTTTTCCTTCCCTCATCCTTTTGTCCTCCTTATGTCCTGCTGCTGTCGCGCTGTTTACGTTGTTTGGGCTGGGGCTGCGGCCGCCCACGACAACAATAATTCTTGCCAACTAAGCTGTTTGGGGTCTATGCTGGTATAGTTTTATTTCTCTGTACCGTGTTCTTTAGACTAAGGCTCTGTAGCCGGATGGTGGCCAACTCGAAGGGTCTGAGGCCTTCCTGGCCGAAGCCTTCGTCCCAAACGCCGTTGCCCACTTCAGCCAGCTCCAGCATCTTCCAGTCCTAGGACAGGCAGGGACGGATGTGATGTCTGACCTCTGCCTGCAAACCTACAATCTCGGCCAAGCAGATTCGCCTTGTAGAGCAAGCTGTTGAACCTTTACTTTAGCAGTTTAAACAATCACAAACGAAAGGTCCAAAGAAAAACAATAGAAAAGCAAGGTCAAAAGGAAAAACCATCTGAACAATTAAAGGACCGGATAACCCCACATATGAATCTTTACGAATCTTAAGTTTCTAAAGCACAAAGCAGTCAGAGTCTCAATAGCTTCTACAACACGGCCTTGTCAGGAAGTTATATCAGATTTACGCAACAGAGGGGTGGGAGAGAGGTGTGGGAGAGTGATGTGCACGGGGTATGCACGAGGTATTGCGCAGACATGTGTGCGCAGCCACAACTAGCCGAAGCAAAACCCCATCGCTCTGCCGACGTAAAACCCTATAGCATGGAGGTTCACAAAGTGCTGCGCCTGCCACGAATTCTGCACGT